ATTGTAAACAGAAGGTTTGAACAACCTCTATACCTGTGACATTATTTCTGATATGTCCTCATTGTCTGGGATCATTAGGATCCCAGAGAAGATAAAAGACTCTGAGCTTTTGGCTGCTGAATAATTATTTGAAACCTCAGAAATGTTTAATTTGAGCAACCCCCGATCTGCAAGAGAGTGTTGCTCTCTATCCACACAACTTTTAATCAATCATAATAAGATGAGAAGCGTTGGTGAGTCCGCCTGTAGCTGGTGAAGGAGTTATTTGTGGAATAAAAGTTTATTTTTGTGTGTGGCAGCGTTTGTCTCCTGACTGCGAGGATCAGATCCGGGTCATCCTGCAGGAGTCGGCGTTGGACTACAGACTGGACCCTCAGCTGCAGATCCAGTGTGCAGAAGAGGTTTGCTGCTCTCCACTTTCACTGTGACACACACAGTTTATTCTTCCCATCACTCCATCCTAACTCAGGTGTTCATTTTGTTCCCGAGCTTCATAATTATTCTTATTGGGTAAATATGTAGGAATAAAAACAGCTGACATTCACTGTGATGTAGTCATGTCTCCAGCAGGAGGTGCCAGCTGCTTGGTAATAAATTACTGCACAGATATCAGCGGTACTTTACGTTCTACCTGCTTCTGGCTTACATTTGAAGGCATGCATGCAAGTCTTGGGAGCAAAAAGCAGCGAAATATTTTCATGAAAACAACATAAGTGCAAAAATTAAACACAGAGTAAAAATATGAATCTCTTTCATGCACACGTGCCGCTCCTACGCTTCATTCTGTCAGAAGATGTCGAACAAACGATGACTGGATCGTGACTGAGGCAACAGATTTAAGAGAAACATCACCAGAGTTTAAAAATATGGATTATTAAAGAGCTGCTGAGAAGCTTAATGTGACTCACAGTGAGCAGGCAGGAGCTCAGAGGGGCTCTGACAGCATTAATGGCTTTTTATTGATTATTGTGTGTTTGCAGATCTCCAGTCTGTGTACAGAGGAGGCAGCAGCTCAGGAGCAGACAGGACAGGTGGAGGAATGTCTAAAAATCAACCTGCTGAAGCTCAAGAAGGAAGGATGTAAGAAGGTAAAACAAGCTGCCTTCACTGACCGCTCAGACAAACAGACCATCATTTGGATTTCAGTTTCAGCTTCCAGCTGTAATCGTTTCTTTTATGGTTTCATTTTCATTTACAAACTCTTATTCTTATGATAGAAATCAAGCGTACCTCTTTGAGTTAGTGATGTAACTGTGGCTATTTTCTGGCATCAATGTTTAAATGAATCTTTTAGAAAGAAAAGGAGGAATCACACTCTCACGATCCTTTCTTTCTAGAAGCTTTTCTAACGACACATTTATGCTCCTCCTCCTCTCCCACGCTGACCCCGCAGGAGGTGTTGAACATGCTGAAGGAGAGTAAGGCGGACATCTATGTCGACCCCGTCCTTCACACGGCCTGTGCTCTGGACATCAAACACCACTGTGCTGCCATCCCACCCGGCAAAGGACGCCGTGAGTCAAACTCACTCAGAAGTCATGTGACTCAGACACGAAAAACAAACGTCCCACTTTTTATTTCAACGACTGGCTGCTATTCAGCGGCCGTCAGAACAAAAGAAGGGCGAACTTTGCATTGCAGGAGTCAGCAAAATCAATGTTATTTATTTATTTTTAATCATGCAGAGAAAAGGTAGCAGAAACAAACTGTTTCTTCTGCATAATACACAGAAACTACAATCCCCATCCAAATTTGTTTGTCTTTCAGTTGATTTATATCTAATGGAAGTTTTGTGTCCCATCAGAAATGTCGTGCCTGATGGAAGCGCTGCAGGACAAACGTATTCGTCTGCAGCCCGAGTGCAAGAAGAGACTTCAGGATCGCATCGATATGTGGAGCTACGCTGCCAAGGTACACGCACCGAGCAGGGAAACACCTGTGACACACGTGCG